CCGCTGGATGAAGCTCTACTCTCGGCTGCCGTGCTGGAGGGAGCTTATTGACGGAGCCGCAAGCCGCTGCTGCCGCCGCTGTTTGTTGGCTGGCGGCGAGTTTGTCATGTTTCGATATAGAGCCGTGAGGAGACGGCGGCGGCCGTCTCGCGGGATTTGTGACTTCTGATTAATGATTCATCATGAGCTTTTAAAATGCGATCATCCGTCAATGCCGGACCGAGTTCTGTCGGAAGGAAAGGAGTAGGCCTGGGTCTCGGCCAACTGTTGGCTGCTGCTACTACTGCTGCTGCTGCCGACTGCTGGCAGATGCCGCTGCCGCCGTTGCTACGCTGCTGCTGGCTGCAAACTGCTGCTGCTGCTGCACTGACCTGTGCTGCTAGGCTGGCTACTGCGGCTACGCGCTGCTGCTACACTGCTGCTGCGCAGCTGCTGCTGCCGCCTAAGCTGGCTGCTACTGGCTGCTCGCTATGCTCTACTTTTGCTTCGCTTGCTGCCTGCGCTCTGCTGCTGCTACTGCTGCTGCTGCCGCGCAGCTGCTGTCTGGCTAACTATCTGCTAGCTGCTGCCCGCTGCTGCTGCTTACTGCTGCACTGCTGCGCTTAGCTGCTGGCTGTGCTGCTTACTGATGGCTACTTGCCGGCTGCGTATCTGCTGGCTGCTGCTACCTGCTCGCTACTGCGTTGCACGTGGCGATCGCTCCGCTGCGTGAGTTCGGATACGCTCGGGTGCGCGACCGGCAACGGAACTCACCTGACTGAACGCATGCTGCTTGCACGACGAAAAAGAATATGAAGAGAAAAATGCGCGTGCCTTCGCGTGTCGCCATCGTAATGAGCAATCATCCGATAGCGTGGGACAGAGACGGGTTGAACGCAGCGCGGGCGGCTGAGACGTACGACAGGCGCTTTGTCTATAGATGCTGCGATCTAATCATCAGTGGCAGAGAGCGCTGAAGTCTTGCGAGAGCGAGCGAGAAACGCCAAACGAGAAAAAGAACGGTATGTGAGCGAGTGGGCAAGGGTGGGACGCAAGAGAGACAAGAGAGAGAGAGATGAGAGAGGGGGGGGCGAAAGAGAAGGAGGGTGGTAGAGAAAGAAGGTCACAAGTAAATAATAGTAAGATAGAAGAGATATGAGTAGATAGAATTGAAAAGAGAAGTGTCGAGAGACCGACCCGGCGGGGATTGGAAAGGAGATAAAATGTGTGTGAATTGTTAAAAAATAAAATTACTACGAATATATTCAAAACGTAGAATTATATGTGTTCTTTCTAATCATGCAATGCCGTGCCTGCATCCGCCTATTACACCAGGAAGAGAAATGGAGGGAGCAAAAAAGGCCACGTAAGAGATTGTAATAGAGAGCGAGAGAGCGCGCGTAAGAAATTGTAATAGAGAGCGAGAGAGAGCACGCAGGAAAAAGCAAGCGAGAGCGAGAGAGAGCACGAGAGCGAGGGAGATAGAAAGAGTGCGAGGAGAAAGAGATAGAGAGAGAGATAGAAGAGACAGAGAGAGAGAGAGAGAGAGAGAAGAGAGAAGAGAGAGGAGAGAGAAAGAGAAGAGAGAGAGAGAGAGAGAGAGAGGAGAGAGAGAAGAAAGAAGAGAGAGAGAGAGAGAGAGAGAGAGAGAGAGAGAAGAGAGAAGAGAGAGAGAGAGAGAGAGGAGAGAGAGAGAGAGAAGAAAAGAGGAGAGAGAGAGAGAGAGAGAGAGGAGAGAGAGAGAGGGAAAGACAGAGAGAGAGACAGAAGATGAGAGAGAGAGAGAGAGAGAGAAGCGAGAGAGAGAGAGAGAGAGAGAGAGAGAGAGAGAGAGAGAGAGAGAGAGAGAGAGAGAGAGAGAGAGAGAGCTCATGCATGGTTACTCTCCTTGTAATCGTATTGAAGAGCAAATCGCTATGAATGTATGCGAGAATCAAGCTCAACTATTGAGCGCTGACTCATCTCTGTATGAACTGATTTCGTTCTCGAAACTAGCAGAGCTCATTCAGCCTCGATTCGCCGCCATTTCTCCCCGGCCGCGGCCGGTACACCGATAATGAAATTATTTTCCCGTACATCAAAAGTAATATCAAGTTCAACCTGCGCATCAAAAGGCAATGGCGAAGTTAAATACACAGTGTTTGCAGACGGGGCGCCTTCAATGCACACTGCGTTCGGTGTAGTGCTTTACTCGCGCAGAGTTCAGGCTCCTCGAGGGCCGCAAAGCACGCTGCCGTAATATTGCAACTCCTCGACACCCACAATGCAATGCGAGTTCGAACAACACGACTGACAATGGCACAATGCAATGCGAACATGTACGCGCGTGCAAATAAAACGAACGCGTGACATTGATGAATCCAGAGAGAGAATGACGAATAGACGAATGCGCGCGCGCGCGATTTATGTAGCTTTCGAGTGCTTTTATGAGATTGCAGCGATTTCCTTCTCATAAAGTGTTTGAATGTTGGGCACTTAAGGAGTAAAATACGCATGGCTGCAGCTGAAAAGTTACAGAAGCAAAGAGCTTTTCTCGATGGCGCTCAATTTGCCGTTACGAGTACAAACTGAAATTCCTTAACGTTCTCGTGGAGTCGCCGATTCTTTCGACTGATAATGGCGACAAACAACGACAACCATTTTCCATAAATGGTGCCTTTTCTTCGCGGGAAGAATGTAACTGTCCGATAGACACGGTCCACTCGCGGGCAGCAGCAGCAGCATCGGCCATCTCGTGTGGAATGCCAATGCCTGAGCGCTAGCCCTCCCTCTTAGCGAATATTCTTTTGCAGTGATAGACAGAAGTATAGATAAATAATGCTTAATTCGCATTCAGAGTTCTCTCGCGTTTCATGCCGCGTGTCATGTAGCATACTCTACAGCGCGTGAACAATTGAACGCGCACAATATTTGCATGTCTTGCGGGGATTTCGTTTATTTGCCGTGCAAAAACCTTCGTGCATGTTTTTGTAGTTGTTCTCTAAAATGTTACGCTTGCCGCGCGGCGCAAATGTCGTCTGAATTCGTAAGGCCGGTGACTTGAACTTAGATTCAACTTAGATTCTTAGATAGATTCTTAGATAGATTCAACTGAGATAGAACTTAGATTCAACACGTCTTCAATCTTCGAAAATAATAAGTTGGATTCTGACACAAAGCAGTTATTATGTGAAGCAGAAGTTCAAGAAAAATTGATTCTAAAGGTCGAAATGATTTCGCTGGCTAACAATGACAAGCAAACTTAAAACGAACGCAGAATGCATATAGTCAACAGAAAAAAAAGTTGACCATTACACAGATGAAGATGCGTTGTTATTGGGCACATGCATAGAGCAAGAGAACTCATTAAACACGTACTTGTTTATGTAACACGTCTGTTAAATCCATGTTGTTTTTAATTTGCACCGAGTGAAAACGGAATGGGCAGATGCACGCGGCGCCGCAAGGTGTCTTTCATGTGTTTCTTCAATTCGATTATTGAACGCAAACTTTTGAATATTATATTTCGAACAAAAGCACCGATAATATGCTTATTAAAACTTATTAGTGGTGTACATTAGCTTATCAAGTATAATGCTTCACAAATCCAAAAGGATCCTTTTAGAGGATAAATGTTTTACTGTGCACACCGTTGATAAACTGCACTAATTATGAAAACCAATCAAAATAGTAATTAGCTTGGTTAATTAGATGCACCGCTTGCATTTTCCACTCCCTGGAGTATAGGCCATCGAGGGATGCCTGATACATGATGGCACACCAAAAACAAAACATACATTATTTATTCCCATTAATCGATTTAACGGAGCTTTAAATTTTGTCTTTTTATAATTATGTTTTAGAGCCAGCTATGTTGCCCGTCTGGATTAAAATGTTTTAAAATTTCTAAACCCCCATCACAGCACGATATGCACTCGTGACTATTGACGCTTCCAGGACAATGCATGGCCGCATGCTTAATTGATGTAATATTCCTACTGGCTATGCAAGCATTCGAACGTTCGAGTGGTCGACGCATAGATTTAAATTGCTATCAAATTTGAAACAACAATACACTTTCGATATAATTGTACACTCATATAAAAGCGTGTGTGTTTTTATTGGAACGTTGTGTATATAATATAACAAATCGATAATGACTTTGGGAATGAATCAAAGGAAATCGCAATGAGCTGCGCGTATTTAGAACGCGATAACATCATACATCCATCAACGTTGATATACGAGTAGAAAATATACGAAACAATGGTCGAACATACTTCAACCTTCAGTCCCACGGCGAGCTGCCTGAGTATTTTCCTTAAATATAAACCTGCGAGTAATGTCTATCGACCCTACTCACAATACACGTGTTATCAAAGGCATACCACTGCCCTATACTCGCAATGATACATTTTTGACGTTAAATAAACATAAATAGGCCATTGCATATTTTCAGATTATATAAATTTATGTAATCGTACACGTTCAACATTCCACCGTAACATAACGTCGGCTACACACGCACGCTCGTGATCACATCATCAAGTCCTCGATACTACCACTTGTTTCCCCGCGTAACTGATGCGGCCCTTACCGCCAGCACGTACTACTATCGGTTAAATCATCGATGTTGCGTCATGTCGGCGTGTGCAGCTGGCTTTTAAATGCTAATTACGGCATGTTTGTTGCGCGCCAGCGTCGGCTGCGCAAATGTAAACAACCTTAGTCGCGAATCACTTCTTCTTCCTCTTCTTCCTCTTCTTGTTCTGCTTTTTCTTCTTGTGAGCAGGATGTTTTTTGGAGTCGCGCTTCGAAATGCCGAATGTACTGTTACGGTTTGAAAATTGAGTTAACTTTCCCGCCTGCTACGTGTACGAGCGCAGACAAGCATTCTCCCAGATTAGATGTTTGAACGCGCAGACGTGCTCACGCCCATATGCATAAACACTCGCACGAACGCACGAACACAGGCGCAATCGCAAATACACACACGCACACACACTCACACACACACACGCGCGCGCGCACGCACACACACGCACAATACGCACAGACACGCACACACACGCAACACCCCTCCGCACACACACACGCGCACACCGAGGTGTGTAGCAGCAGATAGGCAGAGCACCTCTTTCCCCATCATCGTCCCTGTTCTGGGTAGTCCCTATACCGGTGTAAGAAGAGCGCTCTGGGGATGGTAAGTAACGAACCTATTCTGACCAGCTACAACACTGGCACAGAAAAAAATTCCCTGATTTTTCGCAAATATCGATTTAACGCTAAGCCATTGTATCCTGGCTGAAACACTAAAGTTACCTTCTGATAAGTGTAAGGTTGCGACATGGTGCCTGTTAGTTATTTTTGAAGCATTTAATTAAGATATCATCTATCACGTGTGCTAGGCGCCGTGCATGGTTAGCAGGAACGCTGTTTTAGGTGTTTACGGCTAACCAGTTTGATGGGTGCATTGCCGACACGGAAAAGTCGCCAAAGAAGTATTTGCTAAAGATGGGAGCAGAGCGTGTAGTGCCACGTGTGTGGAAGGAGTGCGTTAAAGCAGATGGGCGTGTCTGTGTGTGCGGGCGTGTGTGCCAGAGGTTTGTACGCACCCGCGTAAAACCCCGCTCCACATCCAGACGGCGCTCGCATCGCACAAACGCCTTGAACATTATTCCCACCTCCCCCCTCCTCTCCCCCTCTCTCTCTCTCTCTCTCCGCCTCCAACAACGACGCCCGTCACTCAACTCCTTCGTGCGACGGCGACCTTACGGAGCGTATAGATGGCGCTCGCGTCGGTGGCGTGAATCCGAACTCGGCCTCCGGCTCGACTTTGAAGACGTCCTTGAGCCAGTAGTCGCGTGTTTTCAGACAGACGATGACGCTGACGAGGATGGCGACGAGCAGCGAGGCCGTGAGGAAGGCGATGGCGATGGTGAAGCCGGTGCGGCTGATGCAGGCAACCTCCTCCCTGCTGCCGTCACCGTCGCCGCCGCTGCCGCCGCCGCGTTGCTTCAGCGCCGTGTCGCTCGCTGGAAATCAATCCTCCGGTTAGCTCAACGTGTGTGTGTATGTGTGTGCGTGCGTGCGTGCGTGCGTGCGTGCGTGCGTGTGCGTGCTTGCCTGGTTGTGTGCGTGCTTGCTTGGTTGTGTGCGTGGCCGTGGGTTACCAGCTGCATGTGTGCATGTCGTGCATCTGTGTGTGCGCGCGCTCGCCTGTCTGCGTGCGTGCATGCGTGCGCGTGAGCAAACCTGCATGCGTTCGTGCATGAGGGCGTACGTGCGTGCGTCTCTGAATTGGTCATTCAGTAACAATTATTTTTAGCTTCTTTTCGCACATCAATTTCTGTGCCTTGTTTTACATTCAATCACCGAGCATAATCTGTTGGCAACTGAGCACTACGCGCTCAATCATATATAGAAACAGTCGCTTTTCCCGCGTTATTCTACCAAGAACAATGCGAGCTGCCGCCTACCGCCTTGCTCGCTCAATTTTTATCTCGCGATTTTTTTTTATACGCGATCTATTCTACGCGTAATTTTTTCTGACAGCTGCTGATCGCATTACGTGCGTTAAATTCCGCAACGTGATCGAGAGAGCGGCTAAAATAACAGCAGGAGAGCAATTCTCTCATCGCCGCAAGCTGATTGTGCCGTCCCGTTACTGATCAATTCCCGTGAATGGTGAAAGGTCGCCTAGCACTAGAGACGGACTGCGGGAGCCATCCGCTGACGAAGGAGCACGCGCGACGAATCTGCATGCGTAATTACTAGAATTCGACGGTTTTAAAACGACTAATTAAACTCGAAATGAAAATATTTTCGTTCGCATTTTAATTCGGGGATATCGCCTGGGGCCGAATGGAAAATTTTAATTCCATTCCAAGATCGCGTCACGTGATAGCATGACTCATTAAGGGGGGTTCTCGTTCGGAGGCAGATGCGGCGTCTGAATGCAATGGCGGCGCTGATGATGTGTCACGGCGCATGTGCAATCGCACAAAACAATAGAACGGCGAGCGTTGCACGCGCTAATTATTAGAATTACGTCGCCTTAGATCGATCTGCTTGGAGAGAGAGAGAGCACTCGGGCACGCACGGCAGGCATGCGTGTACGGCGCGGCTATGTCACACACGTATGGAGTCAGCGTACATGGGCGTACGTACGTGTGCGTACGACATCTCAACGATTCATCTAGCCTAGCTAGCACAACAGATTGTAGAGTCATCGGTCTGTGTAATGCTAAATCAGTGCGCGCGCGCGCCGATTAGCACACGCACTCGTATGTTAGTGGGCGCGCGGTGGCATCATTGCGTCAACGCGTATATCATTGCGAGTAGGCTACATGTGTATCATTGCGCGGCACGGGTGTACCATCGCGCGCACGGTAAGCACGGGTAATCAATACGTGCACGCGCACTGGTGTATAATTGCGGGCACGGATGTTGCAGTGCGCGCACGAATGCATCATAGCACATACTGGTGAATCATTGCTCCTCGTGTGCGACCACCGTTGCGTGTTATTTGTGATTTATTCTACATGTAACGCACGCATATTAAATATCTGTAGCGGTTCCATTACCACGCGTTTGTTACCGCGCGTGCATCCCACCCGCCACCTCCGCCTATGGGTTATATTAATGTTTATTTAATGTAAAAACTAAGCACACGGGACGATCGTCCTCCCAGCACACCAAGATTATAGTCTGCGAGAGACAATTCCTATATGACACTCACTATGCCGAAACTTATCTGATCGCAAGCAAAAATTATCCTTAGAACATCCCTGCTAGATCTTGAATTCGTCGGCGCATTACTCTCACGCGTTAATTTTTAATCACGCGTCATTAGTAATTTCGTCAAGACTCGTGTCCACCTATCGCTGCGTACAGATGGCGCTCGCATCTGTGCAAATAGTATATAACACTGCGCTGTATTTAATAACGCGTTATTATATACAGCGCAGTGGCATATATAGATAGGCGTAGACACTGAGATCTCTCTGCAGATTTTATGTTCACGTTACTTTAACTATTAGCGATTTATTTCGCACATCCGCTGATGAGAATCCATCACGACCGCGATTACGAGTTAAAACCTGCGCATGGGTACATTGACAACACACATACACACACATGCACACGTTATTATATATAATATATAAAGAAGAAGAGAGATGAGAGGAGAGAAGAGTATGATATGAAAGAGAAAGAGAAGTGTGAAGAGAGAGAGAAGGGAATAGAAGAGGGAAAGAGAGAGCCAGAGAGAGGGAAAAAAGAGAGAAAGAGAGAGAGAGGGAAAGAAAGAGAGGGAAGAAATAGAGAGGGGGAAGTATGGGGGATGGAAAGGAAGCGCGAGTAGAAGAGAAGAGAGAGAGGAGAGAGACGAGAGCGAGAGAGAGAGAGAGAAGAGAAAGAGAGAGACAGAAGAGAGAAGAGAGAGAGAGAGAGAGAGTAGCGATGCAGAGATCGAGAAGAGAGAGAGAAAGGTAGCGAGCGATAGCGGTAAAGAGAGGTAGAGTAGAGAGTAGATGATGAGAGCAGAGAGAGAGAGAGAGAGAGTGAGAGATTGACGAGAGTAGAGAGGAGAGCGAGCAGAGAGAGAGAGAGGGTGGGGGAGAAGGCGGGACAGAGTGGGAGAAAACAGAAAATGGTAGGCGGTATGGGTGGGATGCAATTTACGAATCAGATGAAGTGGATCGAAAGCTGACAAAGCATGAAGGATGTATGGAATGAGTATTATTTACGGTGGTGCACGGATTGAATGAATGAAGTGAATGGAATGAGATAGAATTACGTGAGTAGGATAGCTGATTGTGTGGATTTATCCGATGAACTATTATTACCATGTTAAAGACGTCACTAAGGCGCGGGCTGAACAAATCAACTATCCTCTTACAATCACGCGATGATATCAACCAACACACACAACAACACAAACACACAGGCGCCGCACACATGGCCACAGCACACACATGCACGGCAGCGGCGCACGGGGCTGCAACTGCACGCAATCAGTCGACGCCACGGGCGACGCCGCCACGCACGCGACGCACGGTGCAACGGCAGTTGCGCACGCAAACGGCCCCCGGGCGCCCCTTACGGGGTGCACGCAACGGCACAGCGACGGTGCGAACGCACTACCATCACAGGATCATAGCATCATCAGATCGTTGAGCTTAAGCCGGAGGTATTGATTTCAGCGAGGCGACACGGCGCTGAAACGCATACTGGCTCGGCGGCGGGCAGCGGCGCCGGGCGGCCGACCGGGTGCACGTGCAAGGCAGGGAGGAGACGTTGCCCTGCATCAGGCCGCTAGCCGGCTTCACCATCGCCATCGCCGTTCCTCACGGCCGCATCCGGCTGCTGCGTCGCTCGGCGAGGGGATCCTCCGTCAGCGTCATCGTCTGTCTGAAAAGCGACCGCGACTTACTGGTCTCAAGAGGACGTCATTCAAAAAGTTAGAGCCGGACGGCCGAGGTTCGGCATTCCGATACCGCCACCGACGCGGAGCGGGCCATCTATCCCACCGCTCACGTAAGGTCGTCCGATCACGCACGATAGTGAGTAATGAGTGGACGGGGCGTCGGTTTGTTGGCAGCAGGTAGAGAGAAAGAGAGATAGAAGAGGGGCGAGATGGAGGGGGGAGGTGGATATGAATGTTCAGATGGCGTTTTGCGACATGCGAAGGCGCGCGTCTGGTATGTGGAGGGCGGGTTTTACGCGGGTGGCGTTATCATAACCTGTCCTGGGCTACATCACGCCGCGCACGACCGTGACACAATGCTCCGGACACGCCATGTACTGCTTTAACACGCATCTCGCTGTCGGCACACACGTGGCACTACACGCTCTGCCTACCCATACTTTAGCACACTACTTCCTTTGGGAGATCTTTTCCCGTGTCCGGTCAATGCATCCCCAGAGATCAAACTGGCTAGGGCCGAGATAACAACCTAAAAACAGGGCGTGTCGCTGCTAACCATGGCAACGGCGCCTAGCACCGTGATAGTATGATTAATCTTAATTAAATGCTCTCAAATAAATAACTAAACAGGCACCATTCGGCAACCTTACACTTAATCAGAAGGTAACTTTAGTGTTTCAGCCCAGGATACAATGGCTTAGCGTGTAAAATGCGATATTTGGGCGAAATAATCTAGGGAATTTTTTTCTGTGGCCAGTGTTGTACGCTGGTCAGAATAGGTTCGTTAGCCTTAACCATCCCCAGAGCGCTCTATTCTTACACACCGTATAGGGGACTACCCAGACAGGGAGCGATGAATGGGCGAAAGAGGTGCTCTGAGCCTATGCTGCTCGCTAACCACCTCGGTGTGGCAGCGTGTGTGTGTCGGCGGAGGGGTGTTTGCGTGTGTGTGGCGTGTCTGTGGTGCGATATTGTGGGCGTTGTGTGTGCGTAGGCGCGCGCTGCGCGGTGTGTGTGGTGAAGTGTGTGTGCGTGTTGTGAATTTAGCGATTGCGCAGCTACGCTCGCTTCCGGTGGCGTGCTCGGCTGCGAGTGTTTATGCATATGGGCGTGAGGCACGATCTGCGCCGTTCAAACATCTACATCGCTGGAGAATGCTGTGTCTGCGCCTCTCCGTACCGTGGGCGGGAAAGTTAACTTACATTTTCAACCAAACGCCGTAAGTCGGACACACAGCCGCGGCACAACAACACGGACCAACAACGCAGGAGCGCGACCCCGGAGCGAACACGAACACGAAAGTTCGCCACCTTCGAAGCGCGACTCGCTCCAAAAAACATCCTGCTCACAAGAAGAAAAGCAGAACAGAAAGGAAGAAAGAGGACAGAAGTAAGTGATTCGCTGACTAAGGTTGTTATACATTTGCGCAGCCGACGGACTGGCGCGCGAAGTCACAAAGCATGGCCCGTCAGTTATGCATTTAAAAGCCAGCTGGCAGCACGCGCGAACATGAACGCAGTGAAGACAATCGATGATTACGCGATAGATAGTACGTGCTGGTGGTAGGGCCCCCGCATGCAGTTACGGCGGGAAATACAAGCTGGT